TCCCCCCGGGGCTCCACCAGACACCAACCAACTTGTGCATTATGAGGGTTCCACCCTGGAGCCCACCAGACACACCAACTTGTGCATTATGATGGGTTCCACACTGGAGCTCCACCAGACACCACCAACTGTGCATTATGATGGGTTCCACACTGGAGCTCCACCAGACACCACCAACATGAACATTATGATGGGTTCCACACTGGAGCTCCACCAGACACCACCAACATGAGCATTATGATGGGTTCCACCCTGGAGCTCCACCAGACACCACCAACTTGTGCATTATGATGGGTTTCACACTGGAGCTCCACCAGACACCACAACATGTGCATTATGATGGTGTTCCACCCTGGAGCTCCACCAGACACCACCAACTTGTGCATTATGATGGGTTCCACCCTGGAGCTCCACCAGACACCACCAACTTGTGCATTATGATGGGTTCCACACTGGAGCTCCACCAGACACCACCAACATGAGCATTATGATGGGTTCCACCCTGGAGCTCCACCAGACACCACCAACATGAACATTATGATGGGTTCCACCCTGGAGCTCCACCAGACACCACCAACATGAACATTATGATGGGTTCCACCCTGGAGCTCCACCAGACACCACCAACATGTGCATTATGATGGGTTCCACCCTGGAGCTCCACCAGACACCACCAACATGAACATTATGATGGGTTCCACCCTGGAGCTCCACCAGACACCACCAACATGAACATTATGATGGGTTCCACACTGGAGCTCCACCAGACACCACCAACATGAACATTATGATGGGTTCCACCCTGGAGCTCCACCAGACACCACCAACATGAGCATTATGATGGGTTCCACCCTGGAGCTCCACCAGACACCACCAACTTGTGCATTATGATGGGTTCCACCCTGGAGCTCCACCAGACACCACCAACAACCTGATCATCCCTCTGGGCTCACCTTATCTTGCTATAGAGAACAGCACAGCCAGCGAACACTCCCGAGGCTCCTGCCACGACCGGCAGGATCATGTCGTACTCCATGGCGTCTTCCTGGTCTCTTCACAACCTGGCTGACCACCACCACGACCTCCTGCAGAGATTTAAATATGAGAGAAGCTCCCGCGTCGCCCCAGCAGTGTGTAACACATGGCCGCCCCGGCCTCCACCTGCTGCACTGTTGCCACTCATAACATACATCACAACCTTCAACTTATCCCATTCCTATTCATATATATTTTTTTATTTATACCTAATACCGACGAATTAGTGGCGTAATTGAAACTATAACACGAATATGTAATTATATGAGCTTTCCTTGAATACCGTGATTATACAGGTTATTAACTCGATTGGTAATAATTTTTAAACTGGTTTGACTATGTAGATTTAAATTTTAATTATTAATTTATTTCCAAAATTACACACATACGAAAATATATGTAGGGATTGATACAAGTTTATTTATATTTTTATTAAAATTGCGCTTCATTTTAACTTATCTAACATTTCGAACTAAGATTTTCCAAGGCACTTCTCAGAACCAACAAAAACATAACTGTCTTTAACTACAATATCAGATCTTTAAGTAAACATTACGATGACCTCATAGCATTACTAAATTCCCTGCATGCCAGTATGTCCATCATTACTCTCACCGAAACCTGGCTAAAGCCTGATACTACAGATGTCTATGCCATTCCTGGTTACACAGCCATACACAACTGTAGGCCAGACCAACAAGGGGGTGGCACAGCCATATACTACTCAGACCAACTAGAATGTATCACTAATACTTGCACAAGGGATGAACATGGGGAATATATAATAGCTAAATTCAAATCTGAATACCTACAAAAACCTCTCACAGTGATAAACATCTACAGAGTTCCACAGTCAAACATTTAGCCTTTTTTAGTGATACCTTGGGAAATATGATTAAATGATGCACGCATGAACAAAAATCACTTACTACTCTCAGGTGACTTCAATATAAATCTCCTGCAAGACCAGGACCCACATGTTTTCTGAATTCACAAACACATGAGTAACTGCATATTGTACCAAAAGTAACAAAACCTACAAGTTACAGAGACTAGTGTTTCCTACTAGGCCACATCTGGACCACACCATATCCCCTACGGAAAATTTTCTAGGGTGTTACCTGTATGTACCTCAACCAATTACAGTTGGTGTCCCACAGGGAAGTGTCCTTGGCCCTCTTCTCTTTTCCTATACATAAATAAACCTACCAAATGCTTCGCAATTACTCAAACCCACACTTTTTGCAGATGACACTACATACGTCTTCTCTCCCCCGACCCCAGTCAGGGCTAGCCAATACTGTAAATCCCGAATTACAGAAATATCTACCTGGATGAGGACTAACAAACTTACTTTAAAACAGGGACAAAACCTACTTCATTCAGTTTGGTAAAAGCTACAGATGTACCTCTTAACATAACGATAAACAGATCACCTATCACAAAGCTAACAGAGGGAAAATTCTTGGGAATCCACCTTGATAATAGATCAAATTTCATACCCCATATAAAACAAATTTCTAAGAAAATTTCCAAGACTGTAGGCATACTATCGAAGATACGGTACATGTTCCACAGTCAGCCCTCCTGGCCCTTTATCACTCTCTTATTTACCCCTATCTAAACCTATGGAATTTGTGCATGGGGCTCAACAACAATTAACCATCTCAGACCACTAATTACCCAACAAAGGCTGCAGTTAGAATGATAAAAAATTTCTTCACTACAGGCAGCACACTCCACCAATATTCAAAACACTCAACCTACTCACCAACAAAACATCCAACTTATTACTGCACCTATTACATACATAGAACACTTAACTCTGTATTAACCCTCCCTCAAACATCTCCTTGCCAACCTCAACAGAACACATGACCATAACACAAGGCACAGATCCACTCTTTGATGTTCCTCGTGTCCTTTCTCACGCTATGCAAAAACTCAATGCACATAAAAGGCCCCTTTAAATCTGGAATTCATTCCCTGTAAATATAAAGAAACACTACCTGTTTATAAATTCAAGTCTCTTCTCAAAGATCACTTACTCACTCAAAACAAATAAATACTGAATAACTGAACCTTATAAATTGTATATCCTATATGTTACTCACAATTATATCACACAAATGTTAAACCTAGGACCCCAAACTAACTTTGTTATTTTTTTAAATACACACCTTACCAGGTAAACCTAACAGAATACTCCCCTTCGACTGAATGTACAGCAATGCATGCAACCATATGACCTGTCTTTGTAATACTCATTTGTGCTTTTAGTTATCTGTTTACAATAATGTTTTATCACTGATTTCATCATTGCTTAGTTAATCTTAAGTTAATTTTAAGCCAGCCCGTAATGCTATGCATAAAGTGGCTTGGCATGCTGCTCTTACCTGTATTTTTTGTACCTCTTATGTATGCTTAAATTTCTAAAAAAATAAATAAATAAATAAATATACAACAAGTAATCTCCCTTGGGAGACAACACTATATTGTTTACCGTAGTCAACCCGTAAGACATGTGAGAAAACTTCACCACCCTGGTCACTGCAGGTGGGCCTTCGACCTCACAATCTTATCCATATCTATCCGAGACCAGTATAAATTGGATATCAACCCACAATACCGTACTAATTTAATTGGGGAATTTAAAATTAAAAATTATTAACAAATGAAAAGGGGGTATTAACGGGTATTTTTTTAAATTAAAAAAAACTTTCAAATTCACCATTACCAATATTCTCGGGTTAAACTTTGTGCTGGATCCCCCATAATTTCTTAAAACAATTTAACTCCCAGTATCAAGTTATAACAAGGGGGGTTCTTAAAGGGGGGTTTGAGGCTCCTTATTTTTTTTCCCCACCCATTTTTTCCTTAAAAAAATTTTATTCCAACCGGGGGGACTTTTTTTTTCCCCCGGGTTTTAAAAACCCGTGACCCGGGGGGGGGGGAAAATTTCAATCCTGGGGGCGGCCCCCACATCTAACTTCCTCGGGCGGGTGATTTTTTCCCCACCCTTTTTTAAAATTAATTTTATTTATTGATTAATTGGGGGCCCGATGGGGGGGTTGGTCCCATGGTTTGGAAAACTTGCTTCACACACGGACCCGGGTCGTTTTGGGCTGGAAAACATTTACCTTTCCTTACACCCTTTTCCGCACCTACAGAAGGGTACCCGGGGGTGTTAGCCCACTTTCCATCCTGGGGGATTAAGGCCCCAAGGAAAAAATTTTGGTCCTCATGACCCATAAAATTCTTGGGACGGGGGGCTAACCCTGGGGGTTAAAAAATCCAAACGAAATTCTTTTTAAATTTTATCTTTATTACAGTCACAAGCCGTTTTAATTTTATAATTTTTTATACACTTAGGGGTCCTTATTAAACTGAGACCGATGAGGAGGATTAAATCAGGGGGCTTTTTCCCCCGGGACACCAGGCGGCGCACAAGTCACTACCGTCCTACCTTCTTCACTAATTTTAACCACTTTTCGCGTCCCGTCAATTAAAATTCAATTCAATTAAATTTCAAAGTTTATTCTCTAAAGGATTAAAATTTGGATTTACAAATTTGTTTTTGGGGGTTTTCTTAGTAAAATAATGATTACAGAGTGACCCTAAACACCAGATGGCTAGCATTTGGGCAGACTTATTTAAAATTCTTAATTTTAAAATATTAAAAATTATGAGGTAATTGGGATTTGGCTAATAAAATACTAGTTGTGAGTTTGCAATGTGAATGCTTTTGTTTTGGCCAAAGTCCCTAGTTTCAGTTTTGGAGATCAGAAGTTTCTTTATTTTAAATTGAGATTAATATTTCTTTTTATGGAAAAGGGGTGAGTAGGAAGTGTAACCCCCAGGGGGTTTCGGTGTTAGTTGATGGGGTGTATCGGGGAGATAAGTTTTTTTCTAAGGGTTAGTTTTAAAGGTGATAAATGTGTCTGCAGTTCTAGATTCTCAGGTGGGTTTTCTAGATTTTAGGGCCTTTACATACAGAACAGTTACGACATTTCCCTTTTATGAATGGGGCCCTATTTTAACCTTAGGCCCCTTTGAACGCCAATTCCCATCCCATGTTTTCACCCCTCCTCCACATTCAAAACACGCCCGCCTCCCCATGCCCTACTGTCCTGTCCCCCCGCCTTTTCCCGCGCAGGCGCAGGGCGAACCCTTTTGGTTCTATTCAAAATACAATTTGAACAAAGTAATGCATTAATCATGTATATTTACATTATAAAATAATACAGTAAAATTTTAGGGGAATTTATTTCCACACGCAGCCGGGGGGAGGTGTTGTTAGCGACTTTAATAACGTGGAGTACAATTTTCCCCATCTTCACGGCCACCTGGTTTGGGGAACTCCAACTTTGGTATTTAAATAATCACCATTAATTTTTTTCCACCTGTTAACTTCAGGTAGGGCTCCATCCAAAGACACTAAAGCCTCCATGTTTTGGGTATTAACAATTTCCCTCTTTTTGAAAGGGGTTGACACAAAGCCTATCTCTCTGGTTAATTTTTTGGGCATACGGAATTAGAGACTTTAAAAATAACAAGTCTCCTCATGTCCCAATCCCCCCCAGCACATTACGCATATGGGCACTTCAACCCCCATGGCCATCCATATTTTTTGATCCCTCGAAAGGCTAATACTGTTCCTTTCCTCAGGGCATAAGCTTGCTCCTGGGTTAATTTTTGGGGCATACGGAATTTTGAGACGTTAACAATAAAAGCCCCTCTCAGTGCCCCAAGTCACCCCCACACCTTATTGCTTATGGGGCACTTCAACCCCCCAGGGCATCCATATTTATTGTTCCCTCAAAAGGGATAATTACGTTCCATTCCCCAGGGCACCTTGCACCTTGCATTATTTCATTAACCCCTTCACATACCCCCGATTTATTTCCCTCTTCATTGACGCACACCCCGGAAAATTGTCCACATAATTATTTCCCCCAATTACTTCGCTCTGGACCCCTGTGCACAAACGTTGCATTTATCGTCCCCTAAAAGTAAGAACAATTTTTTTTTTTAAAACGTTTTTTTAAATTTATCTTTATAAGCTCAAAAATTTTTTGGGGGGGGGTCTTGCTCATTCGCAGGCGGCCCGTTAACTGTCCATACGCCCCCAAAAATTATAAAAATTTGGA